ATATATATATATATATATATATATATATATATATATATATATATATATAACAGAAGCTCAGCAATTGTTTTTTACTCTTCTTTAATTCAAACTTGCGGGCAAGGTTCTTTTCAGTTATTATTTGTCAGAAATATTTGAGTTAATTAGTAGTTTGATGCCCTTTTAGTAATTATATCTGGTCAGGTGGTAATTCACCTAAACCACTCGTAGATATTAGTCATCAAAAATGTCCTGTTGATTCGGTTGATAACGAATCAATTGTTTAAAGTATTAAATGTCATGAGATTCTTGCAGAAGCATGTATAAAGATTACTATTTGAAGTGTAATTCTTGCTTGCAACATTGAATTAAATGAGTTGCATAAATAGGTTGTTGGTAAATGTGTGAAATTTTCATAATATTAGAACCATTGGTCATTTTGAAATGCTACCTTTTATTAGGAAAAATACTGAACTTCATCAATTGCCAGTGAGAAATAAGCTTGCATGTAGGTAGTTTGTTTTTCCAGTAAAGATTTCACATTTTCGTATTTTTAGTTGGGGTGAGAGCATTCTTGCAAAACAAAATTTTCTATTTCAATGCATTTTTTTTTTTAAAGCATAAAATATCTGCCTCACTTGTTTAGGAGAATGGAAAAGTTTCAAACAATAAGTAAGTAGGGATAATATTTGAGAAACGTTGAATGCTTTTGAAGAATGGTTAGTATAAAAGAAAGAAGTTAGGCTGTAAGGATTCCAATTAGCTGCTTAAAATCAATAAATGAAATCATGTTGAAAATAATGTTCCAATGATTGGGATAGTTGAGATGCTAAAAATTGGAATATGTGGTGAATTCTCGATCAATGTAATAATGTGGTAATGTGATTTCCAATGCTTTAGCATTATTATTTTAAAATTCTTGATTCATTAACAGTTAGAAAAATATTGTACCACCTCTGACCCGAGTAAACCAAACTATTAGTTATCATCTTCAGATTTAATCTGGTAATTTTGTTCGTTAGATTAAATTCATCGCATTTTAATCGAATACTAATATAGGGAAGGCATTATAACTCCCTTTAATTATTTAGTAATTGAAATTCAAGGCGTTGTTTGTTGCGGTTATACATACCTAATCTTGTATCTACTCTCTCTCTCTCTCTCTCTTTCTCTCTGATGTTCTCCTACTTATTACTTTTTTAAATTTTAATCTCAATATTCTTTGTTAAAATAAAAAAAGGAATGAAAGAGAGTAGTATAAGAAATAAAAGTGAAATAAAAGTGTGAACAAAAGAAGTTTCATAGCTGGTAATGATTTTAATGAAACGGCCCAAATGTCTCGAAAGCTAATGCAAATAGCATTAAGTTTGTACGCATCTATGTTTTTTCTCATTGGTCTATTCAATTTGCTTATTCTTCGGCTTCCAAAAATTAGCAAATTAAGTCGATTTATTTCGAAAAAAATATATAAATATATATCGATTCAAAGAATCCACCGACAGCTAATACGATAACCTAGATCAATTGGAACTATTATTGATGAATTATTGAATAGAACAGCTTCTTTTTTCTCTTTTAATTATCACTTTTTGTATCATTTTCTTTTTTTTTTTTGTGCGTTCTTTATCTGATGCTTTCTAGTAATTAATATATTAAAATGAATGAAAGCATTTATCAATGACTGTGAATTCGATATATTTTTGAAATTCGATATATTTTAAAAACAAATAATTTAGCTAAATCAACAATGTGATCAGTGAAGTGCATGAAATGCGATCATCATTTAATAATTGCAATGACGAGTACACTAACAAATTTAGTACAAAATGTCGAAGAGTATGCAGTTCCATCATTTGAATTAGAGAATAATTCTGATCGAATCGTACACGAATTGTCATCAGTAAGTAAATTCATTTTATCTGTCATATTTTAATTCTCATGAGGATGCATTTTTTATCTAACATATTGATAAGACAATGCAACAAGCTAGAATGAAGCATTTGTCATAATGTGAAATATCCTTAGGGTAGAGATGATCGATTGTGCTTCGGATTTCATCGTTATGATAATATTACTGAAAGTGTTATCAACGAATTAGGATGAACAGAGAAATGAGATGCGACGATAATGATGGATCTTACCTAATTAACCAATATTTACTCATTGCATACTTTTGCTATTGGTTTTAAAATACAAATGATTCTGATTAGCATTATCCAAGCATTTTTACTGTTTATTAGTTGTAATAATAAGTGCAAAATTCTCCTTAACATATTATTCAGTTATTTGAAGATAATAAAGTAATTTACCTGTGAAGAGCAATTGGAATTTTATAAGAAATCGCTGTCATCCTGACAATCTCTTTATTGTATCAAATACCTTTGATAGTAGACAAACTTTATCGATTTATTAGAAAAAAAGATTGATCAAGTTTGCAAAAGAGACTAATGGCATGACAAGTCTATTTAATGTTTACATTAATTATTATCCTTTCATCGTAATTATTGACCTTTCATCATGAACTGACATATTACTTTGCAAAATGTGCTCTATTGCTAAAAAAAAAAAAAGAAAAAATTAATATGACATGTACTTGAAGAATAAAGCAATATCAAATGAATGCCTTTCTTTTTTTCATTTTGAACTTCACAGCATTTCCAGATTATTCTCATTCCTTTCGATAATGCACTTTGCCCTGTCTTTGCTATGAATATTTTTGCCCGACAAATGTGCTATTGTTTTTCAAACTTCATCTTTGTAATGAAAAGTTGCATGTCCGTCATATTTCATCCTCTTCAATTATTCCACTTAAACAGTATTATTTTGCATTATTTTGCCTTTAAAATTTTTTTATTTTGGTTCGAATGATTTTAATTTTTATAATACATTTAAATTATTTTCACAGAATATAAATTCTTTAAAAACTTATTTCTATCTTTCTTGAAATTCCCCAAAAATGGAAAGATTTGTCGATAATTCTAAAATGAGTTATCTGCTGAATGATGTAGGACATAACCAATCACAGTAATCTAAATGAAAATATCATAAAAAATTTCTAACTATCTCGTGAGAAAAATGGTCATAAATGGTGATGAATCGATCATATTGATGCAGTCTTCATGAAAAATGACTACAAATTAAGCATTATTAACCTGTTACTGATTACAATTATGTTTAAGTTCCTTATAGCATTCTGTATTTCCGAAAAATTTTAATTACAACCTGCCTAGTAAATTTAAAAAACTTTAGGTAGTCCATCTTACTCTAAAAAAACTTCATCCATAGAAATTTTTGAATGGTTTAAATGGAATATCAAAAAGATTATATTTAAGGATTTTAACATTTTGCAGATGCCAAGCATCAGAATGAAGGATAATTGCGATGAATGGCGACAGATTTTCACCCGAATTGATTCTTATTTTAGGGATGATATTGTTCTTGAAGGTACAAACCATGCTTCTGCTCAGGTATTATTAACATATCTTAATGGACAGCTTTTTTAAATCCTTGAACATTATTATCGATCTTTTTGTATTAAATTTTATACGAAGTGTTACTCAACAAAACTTTGTTTCGGAATGATAAATCACTTCAAATGTCATTTCAAATGTAACTTTTTCCAGTTTGTTAAATCTATAATAATCTATTTATTCTTTTTACCTATCTATTCTTCTTTTTGTTTTAATCCAGACTTCTAGGAAAAGTTTTTTTTAGTTATTACTTGTCAGAAATATTTGGAACTATTACTAGTTTTGTTTTTTTTTTGCATCATATCAATAGATCATTACTGACTATAGAACGTAATTTATTGTATACGGTATAGAAGGAAGCATCACTTTCATCGTTTTTACAGGAATTTCCATTTCAAGATTAAACAGACTGAACAAAATTTAATTATTATTTCATATATTTGATATATTACACTCAGCATTGGCTTTGAAATTTGGTGAAGTTACACTGATGGCTAAGTTTGTTCAAGATGATTTGAAAAGAGCTTGGATGAGAAACCAAAAACCAAAACCAAAAATGTAATAGTAAAAAACGAACGAAGGCAACAGCAGTTTAAATATCGAAGATGAAAGTTAATAAATGATAGAAATTGGTAGGATGGCGTTCAGGAATTTGAAAATAACCGGAAACGAATATTTAAATGCTATCCCATAAATTCTTATTATGATCTTTGTCTTATTGTCATGTAAGTTAAAAATGGTATTCTTACTTCACTTTGAAGTTTTTAACCTTACAGATAACATCAGATCAATGATCATTAACTTAAGTACAATATTAATGTTCTGGTATTGCTTATTGGCAGGGGGAACAAATACTTTTACATTATTTGGCTTAAAAGTGCATAATGAAAGAACTTGAATTGGAATTTAAATTTTGTTATGACTAATTTTGCAGTTAATGTACCAAACTTGCAGTTTTGTAATACAATTCGCATTCTTACTTGCATCTATTACATATTTGATTAAATTGCAAAATATTTTATTAAATTGTATATGATTACAGTTTTTAAATTATAATTCATTGAAATAGTTTTAAAATAACTACTTTTGAAAGTTGGGAAAGGCGGAATTTGCAAGATGTCATATGGATTTGATGAAATATTCGAGAGATGAGTGATAAAAAAAAGTGGATATTTAAAAAATACCTTATTTGCAGCTTGGATGGTGTATTACAGTAGCCTACGTAGTTGTTATATTATTTGGAACCTTTGGAAATATGCTCACAATCATTGCTGTCCTTTACAATCCACAAATCAGGACAACAAGAAATTTCTTTATTCTTAACTTGGCTTTATCCGATTTTTTCATCTGCACAATTACAGCTCCAATCACCTCTTATACAGTAAGAATAAATTTGCTTCATTCTCTCTCATTTTGAAGTTTCATTATTTTGCAAGAATGTTTGATCATTTTGATTTGATAAGATATATTTTTGAAAGTTAACTAAGTGCGTTAGCAATAATATTTAAACATCTGTTAAAAGATGTATTTAGCAAGTGTTTTACGAATGAATGGCTAATGAAAACGTGAAGTTGAAAAAAAGATTTGTATAATTTAGCTTACGTAATTTTCATGCCACTTAACTTCAAAATTCTAATACCACAGTTTAAATTTTAACCTTCAATATTTCAATTCATATCAGAATGATAAAAAAAGAAAACTCGTTTTTCTAGGTCTTGTATACATTCTGGCCATTTGGCTTAGCAATGTGCAAAATAACCGGTTCTTTACTTGGTTTTGGCATTTTTTTATCAACCTTTTCTATTGCAGCAATTGCTCTCGATCGGTAATTAATATTTCAAAATCCCTGTAATTGCTTAGTGAAGCTTTGAAGAAACGCAATTAATGCATGAGTTGGGAAGCAATTGCATTTGTGACACTAACATAGTTCAGGCGTAAATAGAAATGTGATCGGATTTCTTTTTTTTTGTTTTTTTTTCGAAAAGTCCAAAACTGTCACTTTTTAGCTACGTTGTAATTATATTTCCAACAAAACGAAAACGTCAACATAATTTGGCCCTATTATTATTTTCCTTAATATGGATTATTTCAATTACATTAGCATTACCGTTACTGATAACATCGGATTTGAACACAGTGTTTGATGATGACAAATGCGGCATTTCTTTGAAGATTTGTCATGAGAAGAATGAAATTTGGAATTTGGTATGTTCTGTTGCAGATTTTTCTTTTCATTATTATTTAATGATAACATAACAAATAATTGAAAAGAATAAAAGAAAAAAATAAACAGATTTTATAGAGAAATAAGATTTATTTCTCATAAAATGAGCAATCTAACAACCCTTACACTTCAATAGTTTTACACAAATTGATATCAGATTTTTGATGACACATTCGATGGAATGATTTTAGATGCCTATAAGTAAACGTGCATATACTTTGGCAGTATTGTTAACACAATATGCACTACCATTAATATCAATTGTCTTTGCATATAGTACCATTGCTATGAGGATGCAAATTAGGATGAACAGTCGTCTGGCTTCTTCTACCTTCACCGCTAATGCTAACAATAACGAAAGGCGAAAGTGAGATTTTCATAATCATTTATATCAAAAATAAAACAGTTACTTTTTGTCTTTTTTCTGTTTTTGTTTTTGTTTCTTATAGTATTGGAATAAGATGAGACATTAATTAAATTATCAAAACTAGTAAAATCACTCGGTTAGTCAGGACGCTTAAACACTGATTAATAGCATAATGTCTCTGTCCATTAAAGCAGATTTTTGGAGTCTTCATACACTCACCTGTATTTGACTTCTCCTTACTCAGATGATCACTGAGATGATTCGATTTATCTAAATTTTATAAGTCAATTTAGAGCAGTTTTATAGCTTACTTGAAGACTTCAGGAATATTTCTATTTCGTCATAATCTTGCACAGTAATAACGCTTGAACATCCGAAAATAAGTCGATGCTAAATTATTAAAATTAGGCTACTAGATTAACACTTTTAATATCTTTCAAGAAAGGAAAATGATGAAAACAAGTAATCAGATTTAGATTGATGAATAAGTTAGAATAGTTTTTGCTCGAAAGTCAAATTAATTAGAAATGTATAGATCGGTAGCAGGACGACAACGACGTACACATCTATTGCTTATTTGCGTGGTTATTGTTTTTGCCGTAGCATGGTTACCATTAAACGTCTTTCATGTGCTTAATACATTTGGAATTGTCGAATTCTCTGTGCCCTTATTTGCGATATGTCATTTGATTGCAATGGGTTCTGCATGCTTAAATCCTGTCTCATATGCATTCTTCAATCAAAACTTCCGGCAACAATTCATAATGTTCTACGAAGCAGCAATAAGGTAATTTGTTTGGAATGAATGCATCCAAGCAGCCATCAATGATCAGCTAGTTGCATGTAGTTGCTATATTCTAAAATGACTGTTACATATTCTATGTCTTTTCTAAATTTAACTCTACAACTCTACATGTATTCTCTTCCCGTCATTTCCGAAAATTCAAAAAGATTTTCCGGATGATATCCGCCCGGTTGGACCCAAATAGTAGTTCTGGATTTTCGTACCAGAGAAATTGAATAGTGTTAAATCACAAACGAAAAGATTCAAGCTTTCACGGATGATATTCCTTAAACTATATTTTGTAAATTCGGTATACTTCATTTCTCACAAATTAGTTGGGGCATTTTTTTCTTTTTTGAGGAGGAAAAAATTTAATAATCCCCTGCATAACTTCCTATATAATGCTTAATTATAAAGTCATTTTATCATTCTAAATTCTTACTCTTCTTACAATATGCTTTTATAACCCTAGACTTCTACTCTTTCACTAGGAATTTTTAAAATAATCAACTAATAAATTAACAGACATGATAATTTTAGGAAGATTCTGCAAACATTCGATTGGGTAACGCCGGCAAGAAACAAACACGATCGGGTAAAATATAATCGATCAGCGAATGCTGTGATTACAACGCAACATGCTTCAACTATTAATGCGAAATTTATGGGAAAATGTGACGACAATGAGAAACCAGATGAGGCTAAAATCGACTTGAATGATCATTAGTAATTCACACCCATTACCTCATCTTAAGTTTTCTAGTTAAAACTTTCCATTGTCATCACATCGATAATTTGCCAGCAATATAACAGTCATCTTTTTGACTCATCAAACAGCTCAATTATCTGCTTAATTACTTTCTTGCGACTTCAAAACAACATGGACTGAATTTGAATTACCACTTCGTAGCATACAAAGAAATTATGCCTGGGAATTTCAGGATATAATATCGTATAAGGTTTGCCCTCAAAATGAATAACGAAACAGATGATGTATCACTTGGGATAAGTTATTTGATAGTGGGATAAATATATTGTTATGCTAACAATTAAGAAGACTATTTCCTCTAGATCATAAGTCTTGATCTCTCTCTCCCCTCCTTCTCTCTCTCTCTTTACCCGCATTTGTCGAATTGGCATTTTGATGCGAACAACAGGGTACTATCACATGTTTAAGGTTGTAAACGGTGATGTAAATGCTATGCCTATTTGCATAATTCACATATTTCTTTCACATTACAATTGTTTAGATGAGAAACAAATGTTATGCTACAAACTAGCAACATTTCTTTTTTTTCCATTCACGTTACTTCCTTCTACCAAGGATTATTGTTTCCAACTTGTTTGATGTAATTATGGGAGCGATCCATTCTGAAAATTTAATTTCCTAGCAAATGGTAACGCAACTGTAAAGTCTGCACTGAACTTGCCAGGGAGCTCAAATCCATGACTCCGACAAAAGCAGGTCATGCATGGGTTTGTTGTCATCGTAAATGTGTGATTTTATGTTTGTTGTGATAATTGTGATGCTGATGAATAAAGATTATCGGATGCCAAAACATTTTCGTCATAATGCACCAATATTTCACATCCCAAACTAGCTACGAACTTTCTTAATCAAAATACTCAGATTTTCTAAACCAAAAAATATTCCGAAGACCAGACTAAACTTAGTTCAAGAAATCCCGAGTAAGATTAGATTAACTCAATTCAAAAGAAAGCAATATTCGGCATTAATTAGGAAATGTCATAATAAGATTACGGCAATATTCCAACAATAAAAAAAGACACATCCCAAATTTGACGACGTCAGCAATCCTATTTTGAATTTAAATGTGAATACTGCCAATAAGCCGTGTCCCTAAAGATATATGCGGTGTAATTATTAACGCCAAACAAACCTATTTCAGCTATGGTACTAATAACGAAGCGTATTAGGTGCTAAAAGATGCAGCTGTTCAGAGCGATGCCATGTTTTATATATGATATATAAGGAGTATTTCAGGATATCTCGTATTAAATGAAAATGTAAACTATCGAAGTGTAATAGAATTGAATTTACCTCGATTCCTTCAAAATAAGCAACATCTGTTGCTTATTTTGAAGCGCAGGAATAAATGCTGCACAAGAATAAATCAGGACCTTACAGACTTTAACTGAGCCTGTAAGTTACGGACGATATGTTTAGACCTTTCCCCTCCCACTAACCGTCATTTATGCTTGATAAAAGTTCTTATAATGAATGAATGAATGAATGAATGAACCACTGTCACAAACATTCCCGAGTATATCATGGATTTTTTGTTGTCATATCATGAATTTCTTATGTGGTGGCGAAGATTTCGTGAAGCTGCGACGCAAATTGGCCAAAACAATGTGGGACTGTTATGGTTTCCACTTTCTGTTCCTGTACCATTACCAAACAACGTCCAACATATTTTGGTATTGTTCGCGATATTCCACTTATTCAGATGATAGATGATACGTCGTCGTCATCCTAACCCATAACGTCATCTACGACCGCAATTATCCGAAAGAATTTGTACTTTATGAACATGAATTTTAGCATTCCTCATCTCTCGGTTATTCCCTTCGATGAAATTTATCCTTCTCATTACTGATCACATTTCGCTTCGTTGGCCGCTCCTTTCAGAGCGATCATATTGATCGGTATAGGTAGGTGTAGCAACTTTCGGTCGATGATAGCAAGGTGGTTGTCATCGTATCGTAGTTCATATTCATTTCTTTGCATATTGTCCAATAACTAGCCATTTATCTGATGAAATTGCCAACTAAAACTGAACCAAAAACAATGAAAAATATTTCAAGTTTACTAATACATAAGAACTGAATAACTAGCCTAAAATTGACAAATTTTATTAATACGCTTAGACTTTGAGGTAGCTAAACAAAAGCCAATAGCCAACATAACGAGTGTTTTCAGCGACGATAATCCTGCCCTCATTTCGCAGCAAAGTTTCATACTTTTCATTCATTTCATAACCCAACTCTTCAAAATTCTTTGGGTCATTAACAAGAGGCAATTAATGTCGCAAAGTTGTATAGCGAATACTAGCGAAAAGTTGGGTTATTGAATGACCTGAGAAGAAAAAAAGTGAAAATTCCGAAGAATTAGTAACTTATAGTAACAGCGTAGATAGCTTCTCTTACCTATCGCTACGTTCTCACCTTATCCCGCCCTTCCCCCGCCACTTTACGCCCACTTCCTCACTCATCTCCCTGCACCAACAACCACCGATCGATCTCCGCCCGCATTCCTGCATATGTACGTTTATTTTCATCGTGTCTGCTTTTCAACGCAGTTGAGAAAACGCGGCCGTTGAAATCAGTGCATTAATTGGTGTAGTTAGAGGTCGATGATGGTGAGGGTTTGGTGTTGCTTCGGTCAAAGGTCGTGCGCTAGCTTGTTTGATAGTTTCATTGATGCTAGTAATTGTATGTAAATGTAGGAAAGTTGTGATCTGCTGTTGTGTTTGACCATTCGGATAGATATATTGGAAAAATTGTAGACTAATTTGGAATATCTCAGGTTCACTTAACTTTTTTGCAAGGATACCTCAGTTATGACCATCGAAGGAATCGTTGCAATTCAGAAAAGTAGATATTTCAGGCGTGAAACATAACCTGCCGCAAGGAACGACGACGGTTCTGTGCTGAAATCCACAAAGTACTTTTGTTAAAATCCAGCAAAAAAGGATAATCTCTTTCGAGAAACAACTCATTTTGTACCGTTGGTTTCAAAATATTGCTCCAGAATTTCACCCCATTACTTTACAGGTATTTTCCTGCTCAATATGTCTAAATAACTTATAATGGTCTGTTAGTTAAAATAGTGGACCTCATTTCACACTTCCATACGTTGTGGTATGCATAGCAGGCTCCAAAAGTTTTTCTCTTGTTTGTCACGTTGATTGAGAAAAAGAGACCAGTACCAAAAATTGGAAGGGAAAGGAAAGTAGAAGCCATCCAAGTCAGGGATGTACCCAATCTGCTGCATTAATCAACAACGACGATTTTAGCCAACTTTCGTAATTTTAGAAATGACAGTTTAGAAATTCTACTTCAGATTAAGGGATGGCATTCCCACTACAGTATGTCATTTATCTCATCGAAGGATCTGACCGAATAATCAATTTTTTGATAAGTTCGTTCCTTCTTTCTCTTTTTGTTCAAAGTTATTTGTCTCCAGCTTCGGTTATGAAAGCTTTTCTCATTGCGAAAGACTGGCATCTTCCAGGACTACAGTCGTACTGATCGGCAAAAACAAGTAGCAGTGTGTCATTTGTACTAAATATTCCTTCAGCAACGACCATATGATTGGGACAGAAGTGGAAGTGGAAAGTCTAGCGGAATCATTTGTGAATAAGGTTTATTTGTTGTTGTTGTCCAAAATATTACTGTTTTGCTCTTGGAAACTACACCACTATTCTGTTGTCGACTTTATATTTCGGATGCATGCGTAGAAGTGCATTGCAATAATCAAAAACTCAGTTAATGGAATTTCCAATCCAGGTAGAAGCCATGGAGCAAGAAGATGGTGAGGTCAGCGATGCGTCCAATTGTGATGTAAGTTTATTTTGACACGATTAAAAAAGGTGTTTGGTGATTGAGTGCGGTGTGTTGCGGACATTTGTTTATAGTATTTTTTCTGTCATACCAAATATTATCCAGTGCTCAATTTAGGTGACGAATGATGAAGGTGAAATAGTGGATCAACAAACGAACAAATCAAGCCGTAAAGAGGATGATATATCAGCGAAGACAGACGTTAATGTTTCGAAGAAGACAGCTCTTGAAAAAATTAAAAAATATGAGTTTTAGTTCCAGATCAAAACTTCCTGTGCGGAGGTTAGTACTAATATACTGATCAAGTACGTCATTCCTCACAAATTTCATTGCTTCTTTTGATGAAATCCAGTTTTGTGAAAATTTTTCTAAACTTCAGGCATTAAATTCGCATAAGTTACTTTTTCGTCTGGACTTTTCAAAAAAAAAAACTATACTACTTTTTGCAGTTCATCAATGGAGCGGCGAGAGAGAGAGAGAAAGGAACGACAAACTGTCACGTGAGTCTTATACATATGTACATATACATATGTGTATGTATGTATA